TCCGATCCGGATCGATTTTTATCCGATCCGGTTTTTTCCCATAGAAAAAAAACCGGTTTATAAAATAACCGGTTCGGTTTCTAACCGGTTTGGAGGGTCGGATATCCTAACCGGTGTAACCGGTTTCGGTTTTAAAAAAACCGGTTTTTTAAAAAAACCGGTTATAAAAAAACCGATTTTAATATTCCAGATTGCTCATAGGGAACCGATTCCCCCCAAGGGGGTACCGATTCCTCACTGAATGGTTTGGCTCCGAGATTTCCAGAATGCTCGGAGGGAACCGATTCCCCCATAGGGGTACCGATTCCCCCTATTCAACGGTCGAAATATTTGAATTTTACACTTAGGGAACCGATTCCCTATGAGAGGGTACCGATTCCCCCACGCTCTAAGCATTTTTATTAAATGTTTTCACACTTAAACGGCTATATTATCTTCATTAATTATCACTAACGTTCAGAAGTGATTCAAGGTGTATTTAAGCAAGCTTAGAAGTCATTGATCAAAGACAAGAAACATCAAGCAACTAGAATCAAGAGAGAATCAAAGAGAAAGCATCAAACCTCAAGTTCGATAAATTCAAATACTTAATTGAAATACTTAATTAACTCAACATAATTGAAATACTTAAATACTTCCAAGTTTGATAAATTCAAATACTTAAAAACTTCCAAGTTCGATAAATTCAAATACTTAAAAACTTCAAGTTCGATAATTGAAACAAAGTTTACGATAATTGAAATAAAGTTATAAAATAAACTACATTGCCATCTCTTCTTCATCATCTTCGCCTTCTTCGTTTGGAGGGGATATTCCAAGTTCGACTTCTTCAATGTGTAAGTTTGCTTCCAAATCGGCATCAATTGCATCTTCTAGGGTGGTGATATGTTGCTTACGAGCCGCTCCATCCAAATAATCCTTTAAACAAATGCATACTTCCACCGACTCGGGACTTAGTCTTGATCTCCGTTGTGATATAACCCTGCCACTAACAGAAAAAGCGGATTCCGAAGCTACCGTAGAAGCTTGGACGGTTAGTAAATCACGGGCCATGGCGGCTAGAATCGGAAATTGTGCTTCCTTTTCTTTCCACCAAGCCAAAATATCCAAACTTTCAAACTCTTCAAATGTCATTTTTGATAGAAAATCGCATGACATGTAATTTCCCAACTCGCTACTTGGGGTGGTAGTACGTGATCGTTTGGATTGGGAATTTACAAGAGTGTTAAAAAGATTCAAATTTATGTTACTTGGACGTCTACTAGATGATTCCGCATTCATTCTCATTTGATCGTGTATTACACTACTTGATCCGTATTTAGTTAAATAAATTGCAAACATGTCTCGAAAACATTTGTTAAAATAATTTATTTGGTTTTGGACAAAGTTGGGTTCATCATCGGTTAGATTAAAAGCAAACGCAATTTGTTCAATTAGTGTTTCAACCCCACCAACATTTAACGTTGGGTTTAAAGCGGCGGCACAAGTAAAAATGGGGGGAATCTCCTTAAAATATTTTAAAAGTTTTTCCTTCATTGTAAAGCCAATTTCTTGAAAAACTTCGGTTTCAAATTCAAAGTCATTTAGTTGGGTAGCCAACAAAAATATTTGATTAAGAACCAACGGGCTAGTAGGGTAATAAACACCGGATAAAAAAGTTGTTGCATTTTTAAAAACCTCAAGCAAATCGGTTATTTTGGCTATAGTTTCCCAACTCGAATCCTGATAAATGTCTGGGACATGACCCCTCTCGAAAAGCCGATCGTGAAATGTTTGCAATGTTTCCCTTTGCCTTAAGGCAGTATGCATCATCATCCAAGTTGAGTTCCAACGAGTTGGACAATCCAAATTAGGACCCAAAGCTTTTTTATTAACAGACTTACAAAATCGTTTATAATCATTTAGTCTTTTGTTGTTGTTACAAAGAATCGATTTTATCATTGTTTTAAATTCTAATCTAATTGGCTCAATAACCTCCAAACCGGCTTGCACGGATAAATTAATTATGTGTGCAACGCAACGGGTATGAAAAAACGCACCGTCTAAAATCGGTGAAAGTAATATTTTCAATCTTGGAACCGCGTTTGTATTATTCGATGCATTATCAAAGGATATAGAAAAAACTTTATTTTCTAATTTATAAAGACAAATTACCCGTTTTAAAAGTGTAAATAAATTAGCACCGGTATGCGGCTCACCGAATAATTCAAACGCGATTGTTCTTTTCATCATTTGCCAATTATCTTGATCTAACCAATGTGACGTAACGGCTAAAAAAGAATTTCCGGTATTATGAGGGGAACTCCAAACGTCACATGTAAGCGACACACCATAATGGTGTTCTTGGAATCCTAAAATCATTTTTTCCCTCGCCGTACGCCACATTTTTATAGCATCTCTTCTAAGGGTAGTACGACTTACTTAAGTATAACGTGGTTGCATTAGTTGTTGAATTGTTGTCGTGAAATCTTCATCATCAAAGTGGTCGAACGGCAATGCTTTTGTAATCACGAACTTTGTAAACGCTTCTCGTAATTTTTCGTTGTCGTAAACAAAAACACCACCTTGCGGTGTAAGATTCGATTGACTAGGATCCGATCTTGAGCGAAGTGCCTTGCATGATTTTGTCAAATGGTTCTTCAACATTGTGTTTCCTTCCGATGCAAGAAACTTTAGACAAAGTTTACAACGCGCCCTCCTCGAGCCATTTGACATCTCACATAAATCGTAGTGATCCCAAATATCTTTGTTTCGAGTGTGTTCGATCACTCTCACGACTTCAAGGTTTCCCCCGACGGAAGATTCAGCAGTGTTACTCATGATGAATAAAAAATTACAAAACTAAGATTTGAGAGATGTTTAAGTGTTGTGTAATAAGATTTGAGAAAGTTGTAATCAACCAAATACATCCCCAACCTATTTATACATGTTTAGGATGGTAAAATAGTAAATTTTTAAAGAAAAAAACGGTCAAAAACGGTCACAAACGGCTATATTAACGGCTAGTTTTTTAAACCCAGACCGGTTTTTTTTTCCGGATAAAAACCGGTTTTTTAACCGGTTTTTTTCAAACCGGTTTTTTATCCGGTTAAAAAACCGGTCTGGGTTTTTTTCTCCAAACCGGTTAAAATAACCGGTTTAAAAAAATCCGATCCGGTTAAAAAAAACCGGTTTTTCCCAAAACCGGTTTCGGATATTTTTTTCGGATATTCGGATATTCGGATTTTTTGTGCACCCCTAGGGGTATGCAAAAAAAATTCTAGCGGTTGATCCGATCTGAAAATTTAGATATCCGATCTATTTTTAAATTTTTGGATAGCTTAGATTAGATATCCGAAAAAATGAGATAATCAAATTAGATACGAATTAACTAAAATCTGTTTTTAAATTATCCGAAAATCCAATAAAAAATGGACCTCAAAAAATTCTATCCAGGCCTAAAGATCCCATGCAGCAGCCCGCCCGAAGCCTGAAAAATCCAGGCTGAAATAACTGTCCAACTTTTTGTCTTACCTTGCAACATTGTTATATTATTTATTTTAATTTTTTTAAATAATTTTGATATTTTTTTTACTTTATTTATTGGTGGTTGCTAAGTGTTATGTGATTTCATAAATATATTTTGATGAATATATATTACTCTTTTTTATTAAAAAGTTGTTTTGGATTTGTTTAAATATATTTTACTAAATATATAATAAATGCATACAATATGTTGTATAAATTCATAAAATAGTAAATTTAAATATTTTAAAATTAAAATTTATATTTAGATATCCGATCCGAAAAAATTGGTTTCGATTTTTTTGGATTGGATACAAATCATAATTTTAATTACTCAAAATTTTCGGATATATGAAATTTCAGATCAGATAATACATGTATCTAAAAATGAACACCCCTAATTTACGAGGCTCCTGTGGCAAACATTGATGGATTTTTTCCGCCATTATACCTATATATTATGTGTTTGGAATCTAAACTATCAATTTTAGTTTGTTTTAGTACCTAAACTTTTAGTTTTTTCAAAACCATATATAGAGTTTAGTTTTTATTTTATTTTAGTACCTCATTCAAAATTTAACGTCAACTTTTGGGGGAAAATAAAAGTTTAGGTACTAAAACGGGCCAAAATTAATAGTTTATGTACTAAATACATTAAGTTTTTAACGGCAGTGATACTAAGATGAAACGAACACTAAATTTTAGGTATAGTTTTAAAAAAAATAAAAATTTAAGTACTAAAACAGACTAAAATTGATAATTTAAGTGCTAAATGAAAAAAATAAATATAGATAACAACCAATACCATAAAATCCAAGATGAGAACATCAGCCTCAAATTTCTAACTGAAATGCTTGGCGGTCAATTTCAAACTTATACAATATTCGATCCGATTTAGTCGATTAATAAATTAAATATTAAGGGCTATATACAAAATTTTATTTGCAATTATAGACTGGCATTGTAAGCAAAACTCTAATAAATAATTGAAGTAGCAAAGTTATTACTTTCGATTCCAGCTCAAAGTCGCGAAGACAATAAAAAATTTCCAAAATTCATAAAATTTGCATCATACTCTACCCTTAACTTATTAGAAAATGTAGTCATAATAATGTTTCACAACTAAACAATCCCAAAAAGAGAGTTAAATCCAACAATTCGGGCAGAAGGGAAAATAAAAGTCCGAAACATACCTTAAAACTAGTTCATACATTTTTGAAATCGGTATTTATGATTCCGATTCCCGGTATTATATCGGTTGGCAACAGTTCTCTCAGTTTCCAGTTATAAAACACCGGTTGACTAATCGATTTCGGGCAACATTGCCATTCGCCATCCTTGATTGCAGCCTCCTTTGTATCAAAAGTAAAATGGCACTTAGAGCATAAGGACCAAGGCAAACTAAAGAATTAACCAAAAAGGGAAAATGGATCAGTGCATCAATCAACACCCAATGCCAAGGAAAATTGCCCAATTTGAAGCTAAACATTCTATACATAGTTAAGAGCAAAACCACTATTTATTTGACTAAACCCCTTTCAGAAACAAAACCAAGCTGACTATGACTACATAATTTTGGCACAATCTTTTCTGAGATACACATATAGGACAGGTTAGGGCTAGCCTAACTAACATAAACAGATCTCTACGAAATTATATGTTTAAACATCGACCACATGCAAAGGACAGATACAGCAAAAAGGGGGGGGGGAGGAAAGATTTTTTACAATAGCTTTGTTGGCTCTCGGGAGCATTAAAGAAACGTCAAAAAGCTGAGCTCAGATAAGGATAAGCATATCAGCAGGCACACCCTCCAGACTGTTGCTGTGACTGTGATGCATCCGTGTTGCTGGACTTGAGATTGACATCAACCATGTCTTCTTGCTTTGTTGAAGAAAGTGTTTCCATACCAGGTAAAGCAGCTGCAATCTTCCGAAACAGAGCCTGTAAAGAGATCAAAGAGGGAACTCAGTAGATTGCTCAACAACACTCATGGAGGAAAATGGAGAACACAGAAAAAGAAATAGCAAGTCAAACAGGGAACTCAGTTGATTGCTCAACAACACTCGGTAGACTGTGCAGCAACCGTATTGATAATGCAGGATTCAAGATGCATATTAAACAGATTTTGCATCCATTAAATATATAGAAGTCCATGCAAAAGTGAGAAGTAAAAGACTGATCAGACTTTCAGTGTTAGATGATTCGTCTAACTCTGAATTATCATGCAAAACCAAAATTACTATGAATATTCACAGTAGACTACCAATGTTTTATTACCTTGATATTAAAGCCAGCCTTGGCACTAGTTTCAATAAACATAACATTGAGTTCACGAGCCTTGGCTTCAGCTTCCTCTACAGAGACTTGCCTGTAAAATTGGAAAACTTTGCATCACTATGTTCCTTCTTCATGAGAAAGTCAAATCATGATAACCAGTTAATTAGTATTACCTTTTGTCCACAAGATCTGTTTTGTTCCCAACAAGCTCAATGATAACATCACTACCCCGTTCAGTCCGCACCTCATCAATCCACTTTGAAGTATTTGTGAAGGACTGCCTGCCTACAACATCAAAATTAAAGTAGGTAAACTTCACCCACTTTTATTAAGCAAATGATTAATCAACAAAAGAACAAGGAGTTCATGACATTGTATTTGAATTTTCAAAAATGCCGAAGTATTGTCATGAAAACATGCTGAACAAGAAAATACATCATATATGAAGATTACAAAGCAAGATGATAAAGTGAGACGATGACATACTAGCAACATCATAGACAATGACTGCCACAGAGGAATCCCTAATATAACTCGGAATAAGACTCCTGAATCTTTCCTGTCCAGCAGTATCCCTGGAAAAAGACCAAGCATATAAGGATCACAGATGCCAATCTTATCGAAACACTTTTGAAAAATTCATCGCATGGTTATAACCAAATAGAAACAAGAAACATGCAACAGAAACTATTTGATCATTACAGCCTATATTCACCATCGGAAATGGCATCACTAATTGTATCATCTACTGTCAGATCCAAGGAATATTGACACCTATACAACACAGCATGAAGCTATCCAACTTATTAGAAGAAACAGAACGGCCCAATGGGTGGTTAACATGGTAGCTAATCTGGTACTTCATGTAAAAACAATGAACATAGATCTTGACTTGAACTTTGTTAGGGAAAACGTTATGTCCCATCAGTTGTTGGTTAACTACGTCCCATCTTCAGATAAGTAGCCAATGTGCTCACGAAGCCGCTGCCTGCTGTTAAGTTTGAGGTGTTTCGAAGACAGTTGTGTGTCATTTCCACTGAAGATGTGTTGAAATCAGAAAACGGGAATATTAGAAGAAATAAAGATCGACTTCCAAGCTCGTTGAATTTTGTTGGGCAATTGAACCGTTCTGTTTCTTCGGTTTCATTTTAACAACTGGATTGGTTAATTTGCTGTTAAAAGTTTGTTAGGCTCAGCAATATAAATGCATTGTATTGGATTTATCAAGACAGAATTTTCAATAACGATAAGAATTGAAAGATGGAAAAACTCTCTGAATCCCTAACGTTTTCTCTTTATTTCTTTCTCCATGTTTAATACACTAGTTTCAGTTCATACATCTGCTTTCTAATACGACTAACAAAAGAAACCAAAATTCCAAACGAACACCCAAATACTATTGCATCCTTAATAAGGTAATCCAAAATTCAACTAGCAATAGAGTAATTTACGAATTCTCCGCCAGGGAATCGTACCAATTACACAACAAAGTATTGCTTGCAAGAGAAACAATTACAATTCATGTCTTACCAAAGCTGAAATCGAACTGTTCGATCTTCAAGGTACATTGTTTTTGAAAGGAAGTCAATCCCAATGGTAGCCTGGTTAACAGATAAATTAAAATGCCTTAAAAATGGATCTAAAAGAATCTGAATCAAAATAGGAATCAGATCCAAGCTGCGAAGGAAGTTAGTAATCGGGACCCAAACCAAAAAAGTAAAAGGGGGTCATAATTGGAAGTAAAAGAGCATTGAGTGGTAGAATAAAAATGAAATGAAGTAAATACCTGGTAGGTGTTATCGAATTTATCGTACATGAAGCGTGTGATGATACTGGTCTTCCCCACAGATTGATCCCCCAAGAAAACCAGCTTGTATTTGGCCAGAGCTGAAACTGGAGCCATGCTTATTTGGATCTAGTTCGACGATATGTTATGGATCGGGTCGAGATCGGATCCGACGTCGAGATCTCACCGGAAACAACTAGATGGGGCTGCCGGAGAGAAGGAGATTGAAATCGAGATTCCTTGCCCCCCTCTTCTTAGAAGGAGATGACAGAGAAGCAAGAACGAATTGAAAATTCAAGGGGATTTCGTCCAACGATTTTTTTGGGTCAAATTTGGTATATATGTACCAAAGTTCGTATGTCAGTATAACTAAAATTTTGAGCTAACTTCATAATTTTAATTTAAAAATATTTTTCTAAGTTGAGTCTAATTTGTTAATTTTTGTTATGAGTTTAGACATGTTTAAATAAAATTGTTATTGATTTAAAAATGTATTTGATTTTACTTTATTCGAATAATATAAACTCAATTCAAAAGAATAAATAAAATTTAAATGATAAAATAATGTTTATAAACTTGATTAACATAATTTTTGTCCCTCAACTCAACTTAATAGGATATTTATCATTAATTATAAATAGTTTGAGGGTTGATAAGTTACTTCAGCATATTAATACGAGGTTGAATTATGGTTTGGTCCCTCTGTTTTGTTAAAATATGTTACACGATTAACTAATTTGACATTTGAACATCACTTCATAAAGCATTTTAATCAAATTCGTTAACAGTATTATCTATTTGTATTAACATTATAAAGAGGATCAAATTATATTAAATCAAAATATAAGGATTGTATCGAAATCGAATTTGAGAAGAATAAAGGGACTAAGTACGTAATGTGACATATACTACCATGATGTATGCAAGCAAGAAGCACGTGCAAAGCGCATGATCACCCGGTAGACTTATTTTTACCAGGCTAAAAATCGAAATGGGTATTTCACTATTAGTTGCCAACAATAACAGGAAACACTAGAAAAGGCATTAAGAGTCGCCGTGCTTCGCCGCGATTGGCTTCTGGTTCAAATCTTAATGGCGACCGGATCAAGACCAAAACCGAGACTAAACCATTGGTTGACTTGAAAAGCATGGCGTAGTTCCTACATTCAATGAATTTATATATGAACTTTTTTTTATGAACTTTGTTGTTTATTTGTTGAGAAGGTATGGGAACTCTTTGTTGCCTGTTATTGGTGTTAATGTTGCATCTTTCATGGAGTTTGTCTTCCTTTGTTCCTCCTCCATTCTCTCATTTATGTCTACCGGACCAGAGAGATGATTTGCTCCAATTTAAAAACACCAATTCTATTGACTGTTGGTTTGATCCTCAATCTGATTACCCAAGGACAGAGTCTTGGAACAAGAACATAGATTGTTGTTCCTGGCAGGGGGTCGAATGTGACAAGCTAACCGGTCATGTAGTTGCCATCGATCTTACTAGCAGTTGCCTTGAAGGTTCTCTATCTGCAACTGCAAACAACAACCTTGTTCACCTTCAGAACCTTCGTTTGCTTGACTTGAGCTTCAATAACCTCGATGGCTCTCCACTTGATAACCTGGCAGCTTGTTTAGCTTTCATGGACTCTAGCAACTCAATCTTGCTCACAACAACTTCAATGGCACTATCTCGTCGGAGTTATTTAATCGGTTGGTGAGTTTAACCCATCTTAATCTCTCTTTTAATGACTTTTATGGCTTAATCCCATATCGAATCAGTCGCTTGTCAAGTTTGGTTTCACTTGATCTTTCCTCTAATGAATATAGTGCCCACCTGAGATTTGATGCCCAAGGGCTTGACTTGCTTGCAAGAAAAGTAACCAAATTAAAATCCCTTGTGCTCAATTCAGTACACATGTCTGATGTTGCATTCCTTCCTTTCTGAACTTCAATTCATCACTAGAATGTATGAGTCTAAGACATTGTCGATTACGTGGGGAGTTTCCGACTCGATTTTTCAGCTTCCAAGCATCAAACAAATAGATTTAGTTTGTAATGAAAATCTCACAGGTTATCTACCTGAGATAAACTGGAATAGTGGACTTGAGTTGTTGCACCTTCCGCATTGTAGCTTTGGAGGTTCAATTCCATCATCTTTTGGAAATCTCACACCAATTACTTCCCTAGACTTGTTTGGAAATTGGCTTCAAGGACATATTCCAGATGTTTTCGGAAACCTCACCAAATTAACTTCTTTGATATGTTCTTCCTGCAATTTGAGTGGTCCACTTTCGATATCCACGTTCAACCTCACAGAAATTATTGTTAGGACAGGAGAAGAAGAAGGGCAATTAGACAAGAAGAAATTGGGGATTCTACAGAAAGGGTTAGGGATTGAATCGAGAGAATTGAAAAAATTTACCTGACAGTTACGTGAAAAGTATGGGGAGTTAAATCATCAGCTTAAAAACAAAAGATAGAGAATGCACAAGCTCAGGAAGAAGAGCCCAAGTCACCTTCAACAGGAAACTTAAGTAAGTTAATCAAGGACAACCAGGTGCTATTTTATTAGATTTTTGTACTATGTAAACAAATAAAACGATTACCCAATGTAGGAAAAGCATGAATTCTATGAATGAAGTTTTATTTTTCTGAAATCCCAACTCTTCTATTTTTCTTACGCCTCAAACTTCTCTTTTTGACTATGAACGTTACAAATCGGTATCAAGAGCCACAAATTTTGACCCTGAAAATTTGAGTATGCCAAAGAAAAATCAAACGATGATCGAGTCTGCTGAATTGTCTGCTATTCAAAAGCATATTGAAAATTTAGTTACACTGGTGAAGCAAGCCACAAATGACTTGAACCTTCCTCTGTGACAGGCAACACAAGAAGATAACATCACTAGTCTGAAAAACTGAATGAACACTAATCAAAGGTATGTAGATTGACATCTAAAGGATCTTGACTGGGAGTAATGGAAAATAAGAGCAATCTTCCTTTGAAGGTGATTAGGTACAAACCCCTTCAAACTCAAAATCGATGGAAAAAAATTATCATGGTAATAGTCATAAATGATAAGTCAAGATTTTCATATAAAACTGATGAGAGTGAGATTCTAAATTCAAACTTGCTGATTATCAAACCACACAATCAAACTCGAGGGTAGGAAACCAAATGGAGGAAAATAGTGGTTTGAATCAGAATATATGAGTGTCAGAGGATGATAGGAAAGGGTTAGGAGGATCCTTTAAAAGCTCAGGTTTTATGTTACATAAACCTAAAATAAAGTTGTATTTTTTTGATCGCGTCAGGTTAGACCTAAAAGTACCTCAAGTATTTTTACCTTTGTGGAGTGTCCGATGAACATAGGTTTGAAGTGGCAATAATGTATTTGACAGACATGGTTGAAGCTTGGTTTGATGGATATATTATGTAAAAGCATAGGGTACATTGGAATGAGTTCGAGACAGATTTGTGTCATAGATTTAATGATAGGTTATTTCTTGATATTATTGAAGAATTTAGCAAACTAATATAGAGTAGTACAGTGGATGAATACCAAGACAGATTTGAAGAATTGAAACCCTACATGTTGATGCAGAATTGTTGAATCATGCTTTATAATATTTTGATATAACAAATTAAGGCAAAATTTTTTTGGACTAGATTGAATTTATTCAAAGTTTTCAAAAGTTCTCAAAAATAATTCAAAGTCTATAAAACTAGAATTTGAGCACAAAACTGATTTTCTGGGTATATAGTACTGATATTGTTCTAAAAATATCAATATTGCATGAACAATACCGATATTGTTCACGTAGTATCGATACCAAAGGTAAAAGAAGTATCAATACTCTCTAGGTAGTATTGATACTACCAGCTTGCTCAAATTCTAGAATGCAAAATAGGTACCGATACCCAAAGGGGTACCAATACTACGTTACATAGTAGTATAGATACCATGATCATAGTATCGATACTGGTCAGGCCCAACGACTAGTTTATTTAAATATAATATGGAAGTACCTATACCCATTAAAGTAGTATCGATACTTCCTGTCCTGGGCAATTTTATTTTGCAGAAAAATTATCCACAACAACTCCAAATCATCCCCAACTGCTAGAAACGACCACAAACACATTCCAACATATAAAAACAAGTTGAGGACACTTAAAAAAGGTTTAGAACACCTATCCAAGAAATCAAACACAAGAGAAGAGTTTTTCATTCTTATTTTCCTTTCTATTGTAAATATTAGTGTTTTAGTGAGTTTAATTTTTGTAAACACCTATCTTGTGAGGTTTTCTTGTTTACACATTTTATTCCTTTTGTAAAAGGGGAGTGGTTCTATTTTAGCCATTGAAAAGATAAGGATTTGTAAAGGTTATCTCTTTGTCATTGAAAAAGAAATAACAAATTAGTGAATTTGTTAGAAAATCCTTAGTGGGGAGCTAAGGTAGTGGATGTAGACTTGGTTGAGAAGTTGAACCACTATAAATATTTTTGCATCAATTTTATCATCTCTTAAATCTTCTTATTCCCTAAACTCAAAACCCATTTGACTCCTCTTGGTAAATCATTAGGTTGATCGATTGAGCTTCATCGAATAATTCCAATAAGAATCCTACATTTGGAGGAAAATTCTTTGTCTCTATGTTTATTAGTGGATTGAAGGAAGAGCTAAAATATAGAGTTAAGGTCATGGATCCTAAAATTGTGGCAGATGCTAGTAGTCAGGCCAAACTATATGAACTTTCAGTTGAATTTGAGGCTAAAAGGTAGAAAAATAAGTTTCAAAAACCAATCGTACCCTACCCAACCCCAACACCTTTCCGAAAACCAACCACTAACCTTGATATAAAAAGTCCCAAACTAACACACAACCCAAGCAAAATATCCTAGAGTATAAAAGACATAACAACTTACGCTTTAAATGTGGAGAAAAGTTTATTCCAGGCCATCATTACAAACCTAAACAATTACATATAATGGTGGAAGAGGATAGTGTAGATCCAATGAAAGCACCCATATCAAAAGCTGCAATTCAAGAAGAGGAAAATAAGGAATAAAATCTAGAAATATCTATTAATGTCATAACAGGCTGTGTTGATCATAACACATTAAGGATTTAGGGAAACATAAAAAACAAACCACTGAGTATTTTGATTGATAATGGTAGTACACATAGTTTCCTAACTCCTAAATGGAATGAAGATGCAACAACCCTAGTCTATCCCTTAGTTATTGTTGTAGCTAATGGTCAGAAACTCTTTAG